TGCTGGTGCTCTTGGAGACACAAAGTGCTCAGAGTCTGAATGTCGACGCATCTTCTCACCCGCTGACTGCTGCTGCTGCTGCTGCTGTTGTTGTTGTTGTTGTTGTTGTTGTGGCTGCTGCTGCTGTTGCACAGTCTGTGATTGCACTGGAGGTGCCGGCACCACAAAAGATGACAGTTTAATGTTCAGATCTGGTTCTGTATTCCCTGGTGTTGGGGGTGTGCTGGGATACTGCGGTGGTGCACCTCCCACACGAGAACCATTGGTTGGCTCGGAATCTAGGAGAAAGTAACAGATACTCAACTGTATTTAACCTAAACCTAATTTTAAATTGACATAAATGATTTATAAAACCTGTGAATTTTCCTCTTCAATATTTAATATAATTACAGTAGTACATAAGTGGAACATAATACTGTATCATGTTCATACATTGTATTCATCTGAATATCATAAAATCTATCTTCTTCCAAGTTATTTTGTACTACTATGCATATTACACTAATATTATGGGTAACACTGTGCCACTAAATCCTCTTTCCTGTGCCACCTCAACAGAGCAAACTTTCAGGTTCTAAAGGTGGCAAGTAAGTAAAAGTAAGTAAAGCGTCCCACTACATGCCTATGCAGGCACTTGAGGGGGAAGTGGAGGTATAGCTCCTACTCTTTTTTGACCTCGGCACTAGATGGGGTGAGTGGTCAGCATCACGCCCCGGCCGGCTTTACCCCCGGGAAAGGACCCCGGTACCCACTGGATAGGAGGCTGGGTGGGCCCCAGAGCCGGTCTGGATGCAGAGGCTAGAGGAAAAATCCTCTGCCCCCGTCGGGATTCGAACCCCGGCCGTCCAGCCCATAGCTAGTCACTATACTGACTGAGCTATCCGGGCTAGGGAAGTGGTTAACAATAAAATCATAGCAGCATCGATAGTTTTATCCATCATGTGTTGTTTTGTTTTCACGTACATTCGAACAGGGCAAGGATTTATATGCATACACGTATTTGCGGTCATGCACAGTTTCATAACCCCTTTTCGTGAGGCGACATTTTGTGGTATGCCACCATGTGCCTTTGAAAAATTAGGGTGTTCAGTGGGTAGAAAAGGTTGCGGAACACTGAATTAAATATCACTAGTAATGTTGCCAATGCAAAAGTATTACAAAAGGTAAAGAAGTGCTCCAGGGCCCCGTACTGAGAAGCTCAGTTAGCGTACACCCCCGTGCTCAGACGGCGTAAATTATGACCACCGTTTACCTCAATTGCTTCAGTACGAATGCCAAATACATCACTCTTTGTCAGTGTCACGGGTTAAGCCCTTGCCCCATCACAGGCATCAATCGGTCTGTCTGCGGGAGACAAAATACGTTGCTAAATACCTTTTCCTCTTTTCGTTGTGACAAATATCCATCTGATAAATGTGAATCTATCTATCTATCATTTCTAAGGCAAGCAATGGTGTCAACCAAGTTGATAAATACATGATACACACTGTCCAAAAAGCATTCGCTTCCAGCACATGGCAAAGCTGAGAGAAGAGTGAGGTTATCTGTCGGCTGAGCTGGCGGTATGGCAACCTTTCGACTGTACGCGATCACTGCGTCAGTAGCTGGATTTACACAGACGCCAAATATCCTAACTGTATTTGCTTCTTATACAGGAGACGAGCAACACAAGTGGGTTAAACACATCACCCAGCCACGTAATTTTGTCACACGTTTAAAAATTTAAATTTAAGAATAATTTTTGCATAGGCCTATCAACTGTACAGAATAAAATGAACAGTTTTTTTAACACGGCAAATAACTATCGATATATTACACATTTTGGAAAGCTTCTATTGGCAATTTTTACATACAAATTTGAAAGTCCGCATATCAATGGGTAGCTAATTTTTCGTTACACATTTGGAGGAAGGTAAGAGGCAAATATGGCGACTCCGAATGTCCATCCATCTGCCACACCCTTTTAAGAAACTTCCTGTTTGAACAAGAGTGTGGATCCCAGGACAAATAGAACGTGACCTAAGTTAGTTCTCTGTGTGTACATTTTGAGAAAGCAATCCACGTTCTCAAATTCTGACAAAGAATGATTAAAACGCGTCTGGATCAGATACCACGGCAACACGCTCTGCCAAGAAATTACTTATAAAACGAAAGAGTTTAATTTTAGCAATGCAAGGATCGAAAATTTCTATATAGGCCTTAGAGTATGGTATTCAAGACGCTGAACTAAATGAAGAAACAAACAAATACATCCCATGCAAATTATTAGCACTCCAGCTTTGCATTCGTGAAGTCCCGGATTCGAATCCTGACCCAAGGCTGGCCGTAGTGAGATTTTCGGAGCGTCTCAGTTCTCACAAATAAATGCAAAAAAAGTATCTTAATCAGGTCACGACGGCTTCCGTCCATATCCTCTCGAAATCGTTACAAGCAACTGCCCTACTAATCCACGCTACATAACCTGTCAGTTGACTTAGCGCCTTTAAGAACCCAAAGAATCAACCAATGACGTTTTAACTCTTTAAGTCAAATAGTATCACCTGCTTTGATAATCAGTAATTCTGTATTTTGCCCACAGAGTTTATTTATGAGTTCCGTTTGATTGTCAGTGTTGTGTTTTCTTGAAGGTAGGGACTGGGTTTTTAAGTATTATTTATACAAGCTGTAGGTTTCAAAAGGCTAACTGCCATACCGCGGAGGTTTAGGATGAAGAGGAGGAGGTTAATCCCGTAGCATTCTAGACTTCGGTGCTAGTCGCTACCTCGTCCAGACCTACAGAAGGTCTGTACGATGTAGCGAAGTGAGAAATTGTCTCTCAAATAGAAATCTGAACGCCAGTCACTTTGCTGAGAGATGCCAATGTTCTTTCTTCATAATGTTTATTTTAGAATACGAAGTCTGACAACTACCTAACTAGGCTTTCTGTAAAAAAATGCATTAACTTACAGCTGGGGATTCCCAGACAGTGCCTCGCGCATGTTTATTCCAATGCTGTGTCACAGTGAAGAAAAATAGTTACTTGATTTTTGTGAAAACAGGTCTTGGCAGTAACTATCGCTGATAGTCATGGTTCAGATTGATGACGAACATTAATTCAAGAACTAGGCCTCGTCATATGGCCCTTTATCACGTGGCTCACGCGAACAGCTCACGACAGCTGAAGCGATTGTCGGGGACAGAACTCCCCAATTCACACCACGTGTCTGTTCTTCCAAAAATCCTTCCCAAATTCTCACCATATCACATTTATCTTCATTTTCCAACATGCGAAACACTTTCAATGACTGTTTGACAAAGAACTAATTACGTAGGATTGCAATCCAACGTTCAGAGATGATATGAAGAGCTGACAACAGTGCTACATTTATCACAGCGAGCCTCGACTTTTTAAATCACACCCAGGTGAGGTGCTACTGTTGTACAAAATAATACACGTGTCCTTCCTGAGCTGGTTTATTTCAGTATCTCCATAACACGCATTTTAATATTACTGTCAAGAATTACACTGATTTTTTATGAAACCACCCACCGAAACATTTCGAATCTTGCCGCGGAAATGTATATCCTGACTCAGGTTCTATCCCATATCTCCATCTTCATCCCTGAAGATGGAAGCAGTATGTTCCTGCAAAACGATGGTATCTATGTCCACACAGCGTTCCCTTAAGACTAACTTCGACATCTTTAACATCTTGAGAACCTCAAGTCTACACCATTAAATAAGTCATGTACAATAAACGTTTTGAAGCATTTCCGATTCAATAACCGGTAAAACAGTAGGGGGTTTTCGGAGAATCAGAGCCATCTCTGTCTCACAATGTGCAATAAAAACAGCGTCGTTACACAACGTAAAAGAATGACTAACACAGCTGAGACCTATGTGGGAAATTAGCTCAACTTACTTTGGTATGCTAGGTGGGCCTGTTGTTGTTGTTGTTGTTGTTGTTGTTGTTGTTGTTGTTGTGACTGCTGCTGTTGTTGCTGGCCGAGGGGTGTCTGCAGTTGAGGATTGGTGATGCGCTTCTGAATTATCTTTTCTTCTATTAGTGCACGCACACTCATGCTGGCGGTCTGCAAGGGCGGGCCCGAAACTTCTTTCTTCTCGCACTTCTTGGACTCCGAATCCTGTAAACAACAAACATCTGTGAGAAAACGAAACTTTACAGCATCACAAATCAACCCAGGGCCTACAAGTTATAACACTTTCCATGCTATGAATGAGATATGTCATTAATAAACTAAGGTCAGTTTTCCTCACAATATTGTCACTGTTTCATAATTCTGGGTAAAATAAACTGCTGTTCCACCTCGTGACACGCTACTTTAATTCTTAAATGTGGTTTTCTAGATGTGAGAATTGATGCATTGCGTTATCCAGGTATGGCGGATAAGTTAGAATTTTGGTTATATACACGTATGGGCAGGTAACTGTGAATGAAGGCGTTATTGGCGTTATCCAGGTATGATGGGTAACTGCGAATATGTTTAACAGGCAGTCAAGTAGAGCAGATTGGAACGGTCCTCCCGCTCAGAGGACGCGAATGCTACCAACAATCCCTAACCTTAAAACAGGCCTACTATTAACAGTTTGCCAACTTTTCAGAATAACATTGGAATTAACTGACCTCTTCTCACGGAAACAATGGGCTAATATGTAGTGTCCTGTGACTGCTGTAACGAGAGAATTTCTTGAATAGTTGAATATCTGTCATCCTACGCTAAGACTTTCACACGTGGCTCACGTGAGCTGCAGATCAAGCCAGTCTAGCCAACGCCTTTATACGGGAGAGGCACATTGTGGGGGGGGGAAAAACTCCAATAAGTTGTTCGTAATAGGTACTATTTATTAATAATTTATAATATTTATGCTATAAAATATTACTATTACTTCTTCAAGTTCCAACATGATTTGATGAACGCTGCAAATACACTGAAAATGTGTTGTTGGAGGGACTGAGTGAAGTTGGTAACTCTAGCTGAGGGTCATGTAAGCCGAATTCTGATTGCTTATCGCCTCCGCATGAGCTGTATACCGGCTCTGCGAGCCCCTCAGTTGAACGGCTCACGGGCTCACGTGTGAAAGCAGCGTAAGAGTTCATTATGCGAGTTCAATAAAGGATGTGTTCAAGAAAGTTATCCGGAAAAATCCGAAGGTCTTTAGTGGAGATAACATTTGGAGTTGGTGATTGGCAATAACGTTACGAGCAGTCATTAGTCTTTAAGTTCATTTACTGCAGATAAGATGTCTCAAGCCACTAGCACTGCAGATAACACACTGCACAGCGTGAGGATGTATAAATCCGCATTTAGTTCTTTTGTATCGATTGAAACTTGGTCTCTCACATTATGGAAAAATAACTGTGGATGCTGGAGAAGAGGTTGATGAGGAGGGATTGGGTGGAAGAAGGCTTTAGAATTTTGCATGAAAATTTTCATAATTTGTACACTTCACCAAATATTTAGGCGATCAAATCAAAGATGATGAGAAGTGCGTAACCTTTGCAGAAACGTGTTTGTTGAAAAGTCTGAGGGAAGAGTCCACTAGGCGGAGATGGGAGGACAGTGTTCAAACAGAGCTTAAAACAGGCTGTAGATTTGATTCATCTTGTTCAAAATATGGACAGGTGGTGGACTTATGTGAACACTGCAATGAAATTTGGGGTTCAATAAAACATAGGGAATTTTTTGATCAGCGAATGACTGTCAGATGCTCAAGAAGGGCAGAGTTGGCTTCTTGGGTGTTGTAAATTACCCTAAATTCGCCTCAAGGTCTATAGAAGAAATCCTATAGGCCTACAGCTTCGTCAAAACATACCGGTATATTGAAAAATTGAAATGGCTTTCCCATTATGCGATCAATGAGTACCCAAGTACTGTATTTCGTGCTCCAAAAGGAACACAATCTTTCCAGACGTTATGCCTTTGTGGCTGTCCCTGAACTTTAGAGTATGGCATGACTCAATGACGCAACGAGATTCAAGAATACGACGTCATAAATCCTAATTACAGAGAATAAAATATAAGAACTATAGACTTCTCATACTGCAATGAAACTTAAAACTTTCGTTCTTTATAGCTCAGTGGTGGCTATGTGTACCAACTCCTTTTAACGTTCAATAACGACATATTGTCCATAGACTGTGTATACAAAAGGTTTTGTTTGATTCGCAGAATGAAAAGCTGTTAATTTGATAAGCATCACCAAGCAACCGGTTTTTTGTAACGTAAATGAGGCATGCCTCGTTAGCGGTACATATCCATTTCTTTTCCATTTTCGTATTAAAGCGTATATGCAAATGCCAATAAATGTACTGTGACATTCATAAATATTTATCTTATTTCAACACACGCCCTCCAGTTTGATCAAGAGAACACTAAGATATCGAGGTCAAGAATCATCGTTATAACGAAACGTATCTCTTAATTTAGACACACACGTAGAATTGGTCAATCTGAACTGCGACCGGCGGTCCATAGGTCATGTTGATGGCCAATTTCGAATTTTAGCAGAAACATTATAAGCACGACTAACCTTGAAATTAGAGTAAAATAAACATCATGAAATGTTCCCTTTCTTAGTCTCTTCGCAATTACACACTTTCAAAACAGACCGAATGTATTCTAGAATAATATTATATAATAAAATATTTTATTCGCTTTAATCTTCCTTTACATATTTATTTTCTTTAATTCTGTTAATTATATTCTGCTGTTGTCCTTAGACTGTTTAAAAATGTTCACATGCTTGTTGGTTCAACAAGGATTTATTTCCGTTCCTTATCTTCGATAATTATTTCCACCGATTGTATTTGTATTTATTCGTTTACGTATTTATTTCCCTCAAATTAGTATGAAATAATTTACAATTTTCTACAAATATCTGGATTGAATAAGTAGGCAAACGATCTCCAAACCCAGTTAAAAAAGCTGTACCTCTTGTAGACAAGCCATTATGATGGATACAGCGCATGCCCACTTGTCTGGTGTTTTGTGGCTGAAAACCGATCACATACCAGTGGTTTCGAAACACAGAGCGCAAAACATCGGTTTATAGCCAGGTGACACTTAACTATAGGGCTTTCAGACAACCCTCTAACGACTTAATGGACAAAATAGTTGAAACTATCAGTTAACCGATGTTTTAAAATGTCATCATTTGAAAAAGTACATTCTTATATTCTCAGAGACAATTATAACACCTGAGACGTAACAGCAAACATGCAGACCTACCATCTAAGCAGCTGCCCCGAGCGATTAAGGAAAACTACAAAACGACAAAGTTAGGCTATCCAGATATCTCGCCGAGAATCTGACTCGAATAAAAAGCAGAGCTAACAACTTTGCAACTTCGCAGGATAACAAACATTTCCGAAACCGTGGAGCAGTAAAGCAAATTTTCATATATGATTAGGACTAAAATGATCAATTTCGGCAAGTAATAATTAACAATAAAAGGTAAAATATTTTTAATTGTAATATTCTATAAAACAATAAAACAATTACATTTCTAACAAAGAGTTCAATTAACCAAATGAAATAAATATGTGCAATCCCGTTATGCGCCATGCAGGCGCACAGGGGAGGGGAATTGTATAGCTCCTACTCATTCTAAACCTCGGCACTAGATGGGGGTGAATGGTTAGCGTCACGCTCCGACCACGCTTTACTCCCGGGGAAAGGACCCCCGGTACCCTTTGGACAGGAGGCTGGGTGGGACCCAGAGACGGTTCGGACGCAGAGGCTAGAGGAAAATCGGGGATCTTCCAGCCCGTAATAGTCACTATACCGACTGAGCTACCCGGCTCAACAAATGTGGACACGTATTATAAATACCTACTCGTAGGTGAAATAAGAAGTTCGTACAAACCGTTATGGAAAGCCAAGGGGCAGGTGAGGAAACGATGTTAAACTTGGATGTGAAAAGGAACTTTAAAGGCGGTTGGGAGTCTGTAGACTGGATTTTAAGTAAATCAGGAAACTTTCTTGCAGCAGTATTTTATTATTTCTGTGACGAACCTCCGTGCTCCAAATTTGAATTAAATAAAAGCAAGTGGAATGAGTAAAGACGCTGAGTTATACCGATTTTACCAAATAATTAATTAGCTAAGACGAGAGGGCTTCCTCTTTCTGTGGTCTTTGCACGAAAACATAAAACGAATGCAAGAGGGGAAGAACATGTCTATCTGCCCGACTGTCTTACTGTCTCTCTCCTTTTACAAAAAATGGAGCATCGACAGAAAAAATCTATTCGACTCACAAAGAAAACACCCCCAAAAAACAGGTTAATAAACAGATCACACACTGTCCATACATTAATGAATATATACAGTATATTACATGAATCTGAGCTCCACAATTGCCCTATTTGTCGTTGTGCTGGCCTAAACATGACCGCTCCGCGTAAATGTGGAAATAAAACTTCAGAGGTTGACTGCGACATCGAACATCCATTTGTCATTTAATACCATGCTATCAGTTCTATTGTTTAAAGTATTATTCTGTGTTTGCAATTCTGGCGACCTTCGCACGTACAAATTAGGAATACCGCTCGGCTAATAGAAAAATGTTCCTGC